GGTGCCCCCCGGGCAAGTGTCCTTCAGGTGCTGGTAGTGGAGCGCTCTGTCGACGGCGGAGGCGGCAGTTTCGGGATGAGTTGGGGGTTTGTGGGCGCAGGGGGGCTCTGAGCTGGTTTCACAGCACCATCTGGTGCCCACGGGTGGAAGGCCACGCAGGTCGAGACGGCGTAGCTGTTCCTCAGCCTCTTGAACCTCCCACCACCACGGGTGGACCCCACGGCACGGGCGGACCCTGTGGCTCCCAAACCTTGTCCTCTCCCACCGCAGACGTTGCGAATCCCTCAGCTATCACTGATGCAGCAAAGATGGTGGAGGGGAAGCTGAACGGCACGGGCTTGAACCTGCTAATAAACAACGCCGGCATCTACACCCCGACGGCGTCGCTGGAGACGGTAGACGCTGAAGAGATGATAAGGACATACAAGACCAATGCGGTGGGGCCGATGCTGATGGCCCAGGTAGGGATGAAGGTTCAGCGGGCATGGTGGTGTTGGGTTGGCGGTTGGACTCGATGATCTTAAAGGTCTTTTCCAACCTTAATGATTCTGTGAGTCTGTGGAGCTCCGGGGGTGGAGCATGCCATGGAGGGGGCATTTAGCCTGGCTTGAGGGTAGCCTGGGATGTCCGTGGTCACGAGGGAGATCTCGGGGGGCTTTGCCAAGCTCCCCAGGGCTGCAGGAGGGAGGGGGCAGTGCTAGGGCTGTGCTCCCAGCCCAAGCCCTCTGTAGCCCCGCTACGTTGAGCTGGGCTAACTGGGAGCAGGCAGGGCCACCGCAGCGAAACACCCGGGCTCTCTTGGCTTCCTGCTGCCCCTCCTCATCCTCCCTGTTGTAGGCAGGCTGGGTTGCGGTGCCATAAGCGGGGCTGGCTCAGGGGACAGGAGCCCCACAAGGTTGCTTCTCCCCAGGCGTTCCTGCCCCTGTTGAAGAAGGCTGCCCGGGAGAGCACAGAAAAGGGACTGAGCTGCAGCAAGGCAGCCATCATCAACATCTCCACTGTCATGGGGTCCATCGAGAAAACTCCCGAGTCCTTCTTCAAGCCTGTCATCTCCTACCGCTGCAGCAAGGTACGGAGGCTGGGGACCTGCCCGTGCTCGTGAGCACAGCGGGGCCGGAGCTGCCCCGTGCCTGGCCCGATCTCAGGGCAGCGCCCGAGACGGTGAGATGGAGGGAACTCATCCATGCTGACCGCTGGCATCTCCACGCCCCGCTGCTGCCCACCCAGAGGACACTCTCTTGAAGACCCGGAATTGCTTCTCCCTCACCACGGGGCAGCGGTGGGAGGGGAGCCCGGCGCATGGAGCTTCCTGCCCGTGGCCGATGTGTCCTTCCTCCTCCAGGCTGCCCTCAACATGCTCACCAAGTGCCAGGCTCTGACCTACGGGGAAGCCGGGATCCTCTGCGTGGCACTTCACCCCGGCTGGGTGAAAACCGACATGGGCAGCCAGGAGGTGAGCGGGTCAAGGTGGGGGACCCACAAGTGGGACCCAAAACCTTGGGGTGGCCGGGCCGGCTCTCGGGAGGAGGGGTCCATGCAAGAATGAGCTGCCTCTCAGGCTGCAAATTGCAGTGGGGTTGGCCCTCGCAACCCCGGTGCTTTGAGACGGCTGCACGTAGCACCCCGCGTGCAGCAGGGTTCTTCTACGCATGCCGTTGGCCCAAGCTTCCCAACCCAAGCCACCTCCATCCAAGCCATCAGCGAACACGCAATGCCCAACTGTCCTGTGACCTAACGGACCCGTCCCGCCTCCCGTGGCTCCCGACTCGGTCAGGGGGGAAGGAGCCTTGCTGCCGACGCGCCCGAGCGGAGCGGGTGCCGGCAGACGGCCGGGAATGACGCCGGGGTCTCGGTCCCCCTCCTCCCTTGTGCCCGTTGCAGGCTGACCTGACGGTGGACACCAGCGTGCGGGGGCTGCTCTCGGTGCTCCCGACCCTCTCTGAGAAACACAGCGGGACCTTGCTCAACTGGGAAGGTAAAGCTATTCCTTGGTGACCACCCTCCTCGCGAGGGACCCCGCCGTGCCGGGGGACTCTCCAGGTGTCCTGGAGCACCGGGATGCTCAACCCTCTGTGGTCTGCAAGGGACCTGCTTGGGACTCCAGCCTTCATGCTGCTGATTAATAAATAAAGTCAATTAGTACCTGTGCCTTCTCCCAGCTGCAACGTCCCTGCTGAGACCGTCTCTGCCCTGGCCTGGAGCGAAAAATAACCCGGCGTCACAGCAGCCTGCCTGCCTTGCCTTCGGCTCCCAGCCGAAGGGAGGTCCCAGGGGACATGTCACCAGCCCAAAGCTGGTTCAGGGGAGGTTTAGGCTGGATATTAGGAAAAATTTCTTCACCGGGAGAGTGGTCAGGCATTGGGACAGGCTGCCCAGGGAGGTGGTGGAGTCACCATCTCTGGAAGTGTTCAAAAAACGTGTGGATGTGGCACTTCAGGACGTGGTTTAGTGGGCATGGGGGAGTTGGGTTGACGGTTGGCCTTGATCATCTTAGAGGTCTTTTCCAACCTTAATGATTCTGTGAAAGCTGGCTGCTGAACGTGCCCAGGTCTGCCTGGTCTCAGCCATGCTTCCACCAAAAGGTGGTGGCTTTGCTGCAGACATCCTGGACTTCATCCGGACAGTCCAAGGACTTTGTGCTGGACACAGCGTCCTTGGGAGCAGCCTCAGGGCTGAAATGGGAGAACCGGTAGCACCACAGTCCAGTTCTGCAATCCCAGGCCAGCCCTTCCCAGCTGAGCCCCGACTGGGCACGGTACAGCTGGGAGCGGGGAATCACTCCCGGGGGGGAGCACAGCATGGGATGGAGAAGCGGAGAACCTTAATAAGGTTACCTCAAGGCTTCTGCGTGGGCTGGGCAGCCCCGGGCTGCATGAAATTTGCCCAGGAGGTGGTAACACCCCCCAAAAAAACGGGCTTTGGGGCGGTGCTGGGTTTTCCCAGGAGGGTTCTGGCCCTTCTGGGAAGAGCTTCTCCGTGGGGAGCATGGGGGAAAGGAGCAGGGGCTCCTGCAAAACCAAGCCTAGTCTTGCTTGGGCAAACCCACTGCTCCTTCCCCCAGGGGCCACCACCTCCTCTTCCTCAGCTGGAGGGTCAGCTGAAGCACCTCTGTCCCTCTGGGTCTGGCCTTTCACGGGGGTCGTACCTCTCCCCCTGCGCGGGGGGCTTGCCTGGCATCACCAGCTTTACCGGGAATGTCGAGGCCGAGCACCGCTCCGCACAGGGGCCCCCCAGTTTCCCAACCAGGAGCCCCCCA